TAGCTTCAACACCTTGCCGATCCGAATAATTCTAGTTTAACTTATTCTCCCTTTATTTTCAGTGTTTTACCCGTGAGACCAATGTGGACGTATGCAGCCGACACACACTGACCAACTCTGCATGTATAATGTATTCACTGCATCTGTGGGTAATACAAATCGAACAAGTTTTGCAGTGCTATAGATAGATAAAAAGCAGCCAAGCGTCCTTTCCTTCCTCACTGAACACTGATCTTTCAACAACAACAACCGCTGCTCCTGCATCTAATCACATGGGCTGTACGTAGCACAACTCAACACAGAATGCACTCCCGACCACTTTTCTCACAACCAACAGGCTACATGGCTACAGTACAGAAGAATGCCGACGAGAATAACAACAGCCGATGCCAACAATGCTTTATCTCCCTGGAATCTGCGAAGCATCATTGTCGTCTGTGTTGTGTTGGCGCTCAGCGAATAGAGACGCTGAACTCCCACAGGCGGAGCTACTGGTGCATGGAAAACAGCGGCGCAATTCTGCTACGTAAAGGTAGCATATACAGTAACTCTAGGCAGCAGGTATTTATCAACAGGAAGATGCAACTCAAAGACAAAAAATGCTTTCTGCACCATTGCTATAACAACTGACATGGTTGGAGGCAACAGCAGCGTCCACCGCATGTCCCGCTTTTCGCCCCCGAAAGATGCAGAATGCATTTCTACCATTAGTCGCTGGCATGTCATAACCGTGTTCCATAGCAACAATTGCTATGGAAATGCATTCTTGTCTTGAAGTTGCATCATTTTGCTGACAGGTATCCGCTGCCATCAGCAGTCCAAGTGGCGCTTGGCGTTGTTACTTTATCTGGTCAATCGCGTCTCGCGAGTGGCCTCACCTAAAGAGTACATATCTTGCACCATGCACTAGGCTGCCGACAAACTAATTAGACCACCTTGTGCGGTTGAAAAGTGTCGAGCTAATGTACCGCAAAAGCTTCATGACTCTAAGTTGTGCAGGCACGAGAATCCACTCCCGTCACAAAAGTAGGCAGGCGCCACATTCCACACTTGTCCGGCATGCACAGCGAAAAATGCCCGAAGGTACAAAAACGACTGGTTTAGCTTACCGTTGCCCTGTAAAAACAGAAAGAAGCAGGCAGAGATGTCAGTTAAAAGAGGTAGCAAAAGATGTGAAGAACTAATATGAACACGTTGGCAGTGCCCCACTAAGATTTTTCTGGTACTCACTGATGATGAAAACCGAGCAAGAACGAGCGACAGTAAAGAATAATTCTTTGTAAGACTTCAAGAAACCAACATGTTTACTCTATCTAAAACTTGCTTATAACGATAAATTGGATGTGTGATAGTTAAATGAATGCACAGAGCTTAGGGAATTGCATTTACACACATGGAAATGCTCAGTGAGTGTTTTTGTGCATCTATTCTGTGAATTTCAAGTGTAAATTTATGGGCTCTCTTTCTTAGTTAGACATAATATTAATGAGAGCCAACAGACGATGATGCCAAGGAAAATATGGGGGATTTATCAGCAGTACTTGGAATCTAAATGTGGAAAAAGAAAAGTAGATGAAAGGATAACTTGCTGCCGGCAGGGACCAAACTTGCGACCTTCGAATAATGAGTCCTAATGCCCTACCGGCGAGCTATCTTTTCGTCCACTTTTCTTTCTTTATATTTGCATTACAACTTCTACTAATATCATCCGCTATACTTTCCTTGGCTTTACTGTCTGTTAGTTCTCAATAATATTTTTTCTGTGGCCTTGTATATTGTGCAGTCCGCAGTTTATATTAGTGTGACGAATAAGCAAATGCTTTCATTTTCTTAGAAGAATCATAGCCTCTCTATAGATATAATCTTGATAGCGTTTAAGGGGCCACTCACCAGGTATGACAATTTTGAGCTGACAAGCGCAATGCGTAGACGAGGCGTTCATGATTACGTCTGCCAAAATTTACAACGCTACGCGCCTCGGAAATGGGTAAGATTTCAAGATGAAAGCTAATCTCCCTCCCCTCTGCCGGTGCACGCGTAGAGAATGAGGGCATGACGTAGGCGTAGGAATGGCCCTGCGTACATGGCAATGCAGTGACGTTGGTCCTCTATGTAGATGACTCTACTCTGACGTTGTCAACAGTATACCACATGACATGGAAAAAATTATCAACATGCGTAGTTTATGTACTTGTTGGTTTAAGAGATGAATAAAACTTGAAATAAATAATGCTTGTGCAATAAAAGCTTGTGCGCGTTTCTCTTACATTTTTTCCCGTGAAATGCTACGAGATGCCGGACTAATGTGCCAGCGTTCCGCATGCGTTCGTGTCCCAGCGGTCAGCGCATTGAGCAGACGACCGCCGTGGAACGCTCCTATGCGTTCGCTCTCTCATTGTACTCATCTACTCTACCGCGTCTAAGCAAGCGTTTCCAAACCATCCCGCAGGAACAGGCAGAAGACCACAAAATAACGCTGGTCAACAAAGCAACGCCGCTCGGGTGCACGGGGCTGGGCTTGTTCGGGCACGTCATGCGCACGTCACCTCTTGGTCGTATGCCGGAGAGTGTGGGGAAGAGATTTGACTTGCGAGGGCTGCACGGAGGGGCGGCAAGGGTTTCGAGATTACCTCTTCTCACCCTCGTTTCGCGCCGCTTCAAAAAACCTCTTTTTTCCGCTCGTAATGAACCGATTCGAAAAATTTTTGTGGCAAAACATTCCTCATCGGACACCCAACAACTTCCACGTCTAACTAAAATTCAGTATGGGGCCTGGTGAGTGGCCCTTTAAGGATAAGCTCGAGGAAATAACTGTCGTTACTGATGATGTTCACTTCTGCAGTACGACAACAAACTGACGCTAAATTCTGGTCACCTCTGCTACGTACCTACAAAGTAATGTTGCAATAATCAACTTCCATCTAGGTCAAAATGCAGCTGTATGCAGACACTGCCACCTCAAGTCCTAACAACTTTATAAATTGAAATTTCTTGCTCTATTTATTGCTCTCGCATACCATAATGTTACGCAGCATGAAAACAGCTACACTATGAACTAGAGTTAACAATTATATTGAGTAATACACAGCAACTATTTATATTTCCTCAAAACTGACATACATTACTTGTGCAATTTTTAAAATGCAGACTAAGCAAATATACAGCCCTTTTAGTAGCATTCATGTACGTTAGAGTACATACAGAAAAGTGTGCACACAAGCGCCAGTTTCTTTACATATTTCTATTATGTCTTATTCGAAAGTTACTGAAAACTGAACACAAGAGAGGAATTGAAATTTGATGTTCTTCGAGCTTTCCGAGGTCATTATACAATATTGCTCGCATCACACTGTCGTAATTTTCAGAGTGTGCTATTGTAAGCTCAGGACATGTAAGTTTCCCTTACAGCTGTTACATTAAAACATAATGACAAGGTTCTTAAGCGGTGACACACAACTGCAATGCATAAAAAGAAATGTTGACTTTGTTAGCATTCTTGGAACTTTAGCATGAAGATACTGAAAGCTAACTTAGCAACTTCTTTTACAATAACTTGCGTGCAACGACTGCTTTTGTGCATGCTACAGAAGCCGTTAAGAGAAAAGAAGTTATGACAAAATTCTAACCTAATCCAAAGCAAAGAGGAAAAATAGTATAACTAGAACATATGTGCAACAGACAATAATAAAGGGCCCCACACCAGACCCTCCCCCGAACATTTCGGTAAATCACTAGAACTTGCAAAATGTCATCTTGTGAGTATGGTTCAGGATGGATCTTCAAATCAATTGATTAGCGGGCATTATGGAAGTAACCTAACTGTTTTGAAGCATGCCTCCGGGAGGTGAGCTTCACTACTAAAACAATGTTCTTCTTCTTGCCTAGAGTTAACAAGTGCAGCATGCTCTCCACTACGTGAAGCGAGGGAGTGATCTTGTAGTAATGTGATGAGCCCTGGCTGTTTTTTTTTTTTTTCCATTTTTTGTCTTCTCTTTCTATTTTGCTTCTGAAAGCTCTCACAGCGGTGGTTCTGCATGCTCCACACAGGATCCTGTGGCATCCCGCACCACAGTCAGTGACATTCCACAGCTGGTGTGGCCACACTCATGTGAAAATTCAGATCGCCCACGGAGTTTTCAAGGAGCATGCAGGTCTGTGTGCACAGAGCCTTCACAAAAGAATACCTTGAAACTTTCCATGTTATGGGTTAATCTCTCTGTTTTTTTTTTTTGCCAAGCAATCGCTTGGCAGGTACAATCGTTGTTCACAGGTACAATCGTTGTTGGGTGATAGACATCGCACGCTTGTTTGTTTGCAGTGGCCAAATCTGGTGAGGGGCCTGTTTGGGAAACACCACCCGACTATTTTGCCGTATTCTGCAATGACCAGATTTGGAGTTGCGAGATGGTGAGCCAAAAATTACACGCTCGTGGATTTCACTTTCATTCTTCTGCCTGGCACTCACAAATGCCCACTTATTTACTTGAGACATAATGTTGACTAAGACGATTTTCCATAGTTTCAGTTGGTGCCAGAGAAGCAAGGAGCCTGGGTACAGTCTCCTCGCTTCTCCTCTGTGCTCTCTGCGGCCATTTGCTGATATGTACACTAGTGAGCATAAATATACAGACCACTGCCATCCATATACCAGAGCAGCCTGTGCTGTTTAGTGGCAAACCGCCTTCTTTCTGGAGCATTTCTCTGACGAATTCAGTCGGAGCAGTGCTCTTGATAGCAGACAACTTGCGACAAGATTTTTTTCGGCTCGCACTTCTATGGTGCGTATAGTTTTGCTCACGGGGTGTACGCAAGACACGACACAGCTGCCCATCCGACTGGTTCGCCTGATCTACCATCCTTGAAGGCCTCAACTGCTCTTTTACAAATGCGCTAAACTGCTCAGTGTTATTGCAAAATGCTTCGTACAGAGAAGCTGTTTTTCAATGACACTGCTGATTAGTGGAAGAAAAGAAGAGGGAGGGTGTATTCTGACGACTTACCGTCCATGAGTAACCAGTGTCCCGTGAGCACCCAGACACACACAATGGCCACAGAGAGGGAGAAGGAGACCAGCTCTGCTGCCGTGAAGCGGCCACACGTCCCAAATGAAATTCTGCAGAAGAGGAAGGAGAAAGGGGAGATCTCAGGGGACGATTCCAACATGCCAGTCTTAACACAAGGGCCAAACACCTTACTGAGAGCAGTTACTGGGCAGGGCGGTTCATGATAAAGAGGACAAAGTAAACACACAGGGGCTTGTGCTCTTTCCTGTTTTGTCTGCATCCTCTTTCTTGACTTTTGATTTATTCAAAACAGCTATCCATCAGCATCACACACACATACAAATACATGCAAAGCAAATACGCATCAATGCTGAGAAGTCATTCAGAAAGTATTTTTAGCACTGTCCACTACCAATGTGCCCTTCCTTTAGTCAACACAAGCTGGCCCCATTGCCTGCGATCACCAGGCTGACTACAGCTGTTTGAGGAGGTTCCTCTGACCATAGGTCGATGAACTCACTCATCAGTCGACTCACTCGGACTGGCTCAGACTCGGATCAAGCTATGAGCATGAGCGAGTCCGGGTGAGTGACATTTTCGAGAGTCTGAGTCCGAGTGAGTCCAAAGCGCAAAGTATATTTCTTAAGTGAGTCTGAGTGAGTTCCACTTCATTTGGCCGACCTATGGTTCTATCTAGTCATCTTCTATTAGCATTACTATCAGCCTTACCTGGATTCACGTTTATACTCGCGTCGACACACCTGTATTCTATTGCAGAATCATTCATACACCGTTGTAATAGTTATTAATTAGAGGTGTGAATTATGTAGGGGGGTGTCTTGACCTTCCACCACCAACTCTTCCAGGCAATCTCTTGATGATTTTATCTTATGCCGTTATATCTTCCAAGAAAAATGACCTTGCAGGTTTGCAAGCACTCAGACCTCATTTTCAAAGATATGTCAAACGGCACCAAGAAGAGCCCCGATCACGTGAGATATTGGTGTTAAAGAGCATTGGCACCACAGTCGAAGAGGCTCATTCTAGGCTCCAAATGATCGCTCAGCCACAGAGAGTGGCGCATGTGGAGCGACCATGCCCTGTGGCAGTGAAGCGTGGGCGCAGTCGGTCCGTACCAAAACAGCGGGGGTCAAAAATACATGCCTCTAAAAAAAGATTTGACAGATGTCACAGCCAGTAGATTCATGCCAAATTATGCCGACTTTGCACTTGGGCACGAATTTTCAAACGCACAAATGAGAACGTACCAATACGTCAGTGACACTGCAAGGCAGAAAATGTGAAAACGTATCAAAATGTCAGTGACAGTGATAGAGTTACACTCTATATGCCTTAATATTGAGGGAAGAAAAACTCTTGCACTTGTCAACCCACAACATGAAATGTCAAGCAGAACCATACCACGCACCCGAAGGACATTTTTACAGTGACAGCACAAAGCAGTTTATAACGCACTTTTGATGTGTCGACACAATATACACGAGCCGCAAACAGTGGAGTAGCCAAGGGGTGGCACACCGGGCCACAGTCTGAGCCCCCCTGAAATCTTTTTATTGCCAAGGCATACATAGCGTAAAATGACCATTTGCCTGCCTCCCCCTCTTCCCTTCCAAAAAAAAAAAAAAATCTTTTTTTGGGTATACCCCTGGCTGAAAACCTCCAGCAGCAGGGATTCTCCTGCTGCTCTAGGTATAAGCCCAGGTTCAAACACCGGCAACAGTTGTTCTTAGCAGGCCATGACATACTTCATGAACTTAGAGAATAAACCTGACCGATTGAAAAAACAAAGGTTCCACAAACGTCCAAATTATTTGTTGCTCCATTAAATGAAAAACCCGCCTACTTTTTTTTTTTTTTAAGATCTGCCTGCCCTTCAACCCCTCGCCATTCCTTAACACATAGTAGAATTTTTTTTGGACATACAAGCAAGCACAACGGCAATTAGTAAAACTGATTAGACAACCAGTAGAACTAAATACAAAACAATCTCATGACAGGACCGACAGTCACATGGCTTAGGCATGCACGTGAATACAATGAACCATGCACACCAATAGTAGTCATCCCTACAAACAGAACTTATTATCATGCAACCAGCAAGTTCCATTTATGGCCATACAGATATTCAATGCCTACTAACTTAGAATGGAAAGCGAAAAACAATGCTGCAAACTTCAATGACGTCTTCTTTGCCATCTTTATCTTTACTGGAACAGGGTGTCACTTGGTGCCAATTTATCAAATATTACAAAGCAAACGTCAATGCCAAGAAATGCAACACGTCTGGTCTTTCTCCTTGCTGGCTCTCTATAAAACCAGAACCAATAATCTCAGATCGACCTCACAGAATCCAGGTTTTCAAAACAGAAGCCCTAGTGTTGGCACAATTTAACTGCACCTCCTGAGTCCATTGGTCTCAATACTTCAATACTTGAATGCAACGTTACCTATATGAACATCCCAAGTGTTCAGTTGAACATAATCATTGCGGAGTGTAAACACGAGTTCTTGGTAACGTTTATCCTCGTTTCTTATGTTTCTGCTCACATATTTACACCATTGTAGTGGCAAGAGTAGAGAGAAATGCGAGACGACGTCGTGAAAACATCTTGCCACTTTATTCTTAGGCTGAAAGCAGAGCCGCGGTAGCTTCTAGCGTCCGACAAGCCAGGCGCATGAACTCGTTCTGTTCTCACGCAGCTCTAGTTATGCATGAGCTGCGCGAGATGTGCGGCGCGGTGGCTAGGAAATGATGATGATGATGATGAATTACAATGATGATGACGCTAGAGATTACTCTCCCCCCGGAGAGATAAACTTGGAATGAAAACAATGAGAGCGTATATACAAAAGTGTGCCGGTCGAAAAGCAAAAGGGCCCGTGAGCAGTCCAGGCTCTCAACGGGAAGGGACTATCTGTAACCAGTGAGTCTCTGGCGGGCGACACTAGGAGAAGTTCAGGGGCCGAAGAAGACTCCAAGACCTTGTGGTCACAGGCAAGCAAGCACAATGATGACCCGGTGGGATCGCTCGAGAGAACGCCCTGTGTCGGGAATGCTTGCTGCTGTCAAAAGTGGCTGCAGGCAGAGCCGTGGTAAGGCGCTGAAGAGACCGTGCTGGTGATGTCTGTAAAACGGTGCGAGTTATCGAAGCATAGGCATGACGACCAAGTGCAGAAGTGTAACAACCGTGGCGACATTTCTGACAGCGAACATGGCGCCGACCAGGCTGTCAACAAGGTGCAGCGGGTTGGTCGTGCTGTTGCAGACGTCGCCATCAATAGAACGCCAACCTTAGCGTATCTCTACGGCTGGCATGCCGGCACGGGTGGTTGAATTGACAGAAGCGAAAACCCCGTGCTCGAATAATGACGACCCATGCACTTTGGGTAGTCACGTGCAAGGCAAGTGGTTGTCCATCGCATTGGGCAGATTTAGTAGGTGCTTGTGCCGCCTTGAAGGGCATGGCTGCAACGCGCGGCTGCATAGCAGGATGCCTGAAAAAGAGCCGTCCTGTTTTACTTCGAATGCAATGATTTCTTCTGCGCCCTGTCATAGGTGGCAGACATGCAGTAGGAATGGGCGACATCGCTTTTGTCCCCAACAAGCCTGCGTCGTGGACACACGTCTGGTGGTTACCGTCCAGCGTCAAAGGCCCTAGATGATGGTTGTGGAGCCCAGTCAGTGTGGGCTTTGCCAGAGGATCGAGCAGCTCACTTGTGCTCGTTGCACGCTGACGACTTTCGGTTGTCAGCGTGCAAGGGTTGGTATGCAGGTCTGCATGGTCTGCAACCGGGGCACTCCATAGCAGGCATGACATGTGTGGTCTGCTCTGCCATATGCGGACTAGCAACATTGAGGGGATTGTTAGACGCAGCTGGCAGGACGTGCAGAGTGGCAAGGTTGATGGGTGACGGTCATCAGACATTGCAGACGGTGAGGTCTCTGTAATCGCGTGGCGAACAGCGGGTGAAAGGATGTCTGCGCCAGAGTCCGAAGAATGCGCAAAGGTAGCCGTCGCGGAGTCTGGTAGTGCCGAGGTGTCGCATGCCGTCGATGTGAGAGAAGACATGCAGGTGACAGGCACGTGCGATGGGCCTGCTTACGCGGGCTCCGAGGAAACGCACCTTTTGATGGTAATGTCAGTCGCAGTGGGAGCGTCTGCTACCTCGTCGTCGTAGTCAGATGCAGGACTGGTAGTCCCTGCGACCAGATCTGAGGTAGGAGGAGTCGTAGCCATGGTGATGAGGTCGTGGTCAATGGAGGGTTGCGTGCTAGTCAGTAGCACGCGTTGAGACGCAGTCGCAACCCCTAAGTCACGGGACCCTGGAAGCGGGCGATACATTTGGCTGTAGCAGGCCAACAGCGCAGTGCAGAGGGCATCATAAGGCTGCAGGCTTTTGGTCGATTTTGCAGCAAGATGGCAAAACTCGAGTGGAAGCGCGTTGAGAAAGATGTTGTGCATAAGTGGCTAGTCCGCAACGCCATTCACAGCGAGAACAACGTTGCGCCGCATGAGCCATGCCTGGGGTAAGGTCGGGTGGAACGGCAGCACTGGCGGGCAGAGTGGCAGAAGCATGGTAGCCAGTAGCTCGTCGAAGTACGTGTCCTTCAAGTCACCACTGTAGCAGCGAGAGTAGAAAAAGACGTGAGACAACGCCGCGAAGGCGGCCAACGTGGCCGTGCCGATCTTGCCACTTTATTCGTAGGCTGAAAGCAGAGCTGCGGCGGCTGCCAGCGTCCGAAAAGTTAAGCGCGTGAACCCGTTCTGTTCTCGTGCAGCTCTAGCTATGCATGAGCTGCGCAAGAGGCGTGGCGCGGTAGCTAGGAAATGATGATGATGATGAATGATGATGATGATGCTACAGCCATCTATGAGCTGAGCCTATTGTGTACAGCATGTGCGATGCTGCACTTGCAATCAAGAGGAAAATATGCATTGTACAGAGAGAGCTGATATTCGAAACCTCACCAGCTTTAACAAATACTAGGATTTAAGTATTACATGCCGGCACATGGCTGGCTCTCTGAGCTGTCTGACTGGTGGAAACAGCCAGAGTTTTCGATAACCTACAGGAAGCCCAAGCGTGTGTATGTTCGTTTAGAAGGAGCACAATACTTACTTTTTGCCACTGGAGCATGGCCTTATGAGGTACTGGCACATGGGCAGGAGCAGGAAGGCTAGGGCGATGGTGGCAATTACTGCAAACAACAAACACACACGTACGTGTCACAAGATTGTCAGGACCGGGCAGCACAGTTCATTACAAGGTGATGACATTCCCCCCCCCCACCCCCCACCCCCCAAAAAAACACCTCCTATGGCACTAGTTCAACATCAACCGATTCCACGATGCGCCTGCGGATTTCCCAACCTGACCAATTTATTTATTTTCCAGCCGCCCTCGGCTCTGCATACATTGTGATTGAATCTATTACTGCCAGTTACATCACCGGTTAACGTAATATTAAGCTGTAACAACTTTTTAAGTGAAATTTGAGTATAAACTACTAATGTCTTCTCTCTTTGCAATACTACTGTACTGCTATCTAGTGTAAGCCCTGGCTTTTTCCACGCACAGCATACGTATTCATTTCTTATGTAGTTTGACAGATGCACACATCGCTTATGAATCAAACAGAAATATTTTTACCAAAATTTACAAGCATCACGAACTATAAAATTATACAAAACAACCAAGTTAAACATTTAGATTGAAATGCCTGCAATCGTTACCAAAGAAAATATGTACTACACGCAAATCTTACCAATCATGAAAGGTATACACTTGTAGAGTCAGATTATGCAATAATTAAGTCACGCTCAGCCCCGAAATGCTTAGGAATATTTCACAGAGACACTTTATATATATTTTGTTGTATTACAATGGTTCATCAGATCCATGTTCATTACATATACTAGTAATAAAAGATAAGGATTCAATCAGATCAATTGGGAAAATACAAGATTGCAAGATACCTGAAAAAATTCTTAAGGGGAGTTGCCTTGAATAAACATAGGTTGCAAAAAGTGAGGGAGCCCGTACACCCCAAACACTGCTTTCCAGAAAAATTTTACAGCTGCATGCCATGTTTTCTTCTCATCTCAAAGTGATCAGTAATTGTGTCAAACAGAGTGAGTCCACTCACTTGCAGTGCAGATGGCAAAGAGCATCTGCATGGAGTCGAAGAAGAAGAACATGACCAGAAGAGAGATGGAAGCGCCCAGTGGCAGGCACAGAGCTTGCATCGTATCCAACGTCTGTACATCTGCACAGGAACAAAAAAAAAATGCCATGATCGGATCGGCGGTATGTGTCAACGTACAGCTCTAAAGACAACTCATCATCAACACTCTATCTTGTGACCACTGTACGACAAAGGCCTCTCTCAATGATTTCCAACCCACCCTGTACTGAGCGAACTAGTTTTATTTTACACCCAGAAATTCCTTAATTTCCTTGCTACATCTAACCATCTACAGTGTTCAGCTGCATTTCCTATCTCAAGGCATCCATTCCGACGTACAGTTATCTTCCCAAGACATGGCCCCACTAGTTAGGTTTTTTCTCTTGACATGTACTAAGACATCAGCTACCTCTATACTTGAATGTTGAAACCAAGATAAAGAACACACCATCCACGGTCATTTTATGGAAGTAGTGAACCGTGTATGCGTAGGCAGTGACTATGAAGTGCTTGGAGTCTTGAGCCCTCTCCAGACAGCTTCGTGGAATGCAGGAACCCTACCTCCTCCAGCACTGGCCCGTCATAGTGTTCAAATGTTAGAATCATCGCTTCGGTCTCCGCCCATTTGCGACAAACAGTGGATTGTGCTGTCTGGCAGTTTTTCTAGAGCAGTTGTTATTGCCCTCTTCTTTTCCCTTGCACACTTTTAAATCTTGGATCATGGGCCAGTGACAAGTCAAACATACAGTGGAAAGATGCCCATCAAATAGATTTGTGTGTGCAGAGCATGTTGGGCTCATAAAAAACTGAAGTGACCGCTTGAGCTATGACAATTTAAATGATCATAAACATTGTAGCAATCGTTTTTTATAAAACAAAAATGCTTCTGAGAACACAAAGCATTCACAGAACGGCCAGCGGATGCTTTTTCACACTGGCGTAAATATGTGGAAAACTCGGGCCTTGCTCCCTCCAGGAAAATAAAAACTCTACGCCTATATGTGTATGTATAGCGGAGCTAATCCAATTGTGTAGATGAGTGGACAATTTTTTAAACTTAATCTTATGAAGCTTCTTCTATAAGAAAGATGTTCACTCCATAGTAGGACATGGTTGGTCCTATCTTTACACAGAGCACAATTTTTGTACATTTTGCAACTGCGACAGTAAAACAGTGTGCACGTTTAAAGGCACACTGTAAAGAAGGGCCCCGCTATACCTTCATTCATTTTTAGTTTCTACGGGTGTCATATATGGCACTAGACAGAATTGCCCTGTAGTGATGTGTTGCAAAACCACCTGCGATAAAAGAAAGGCTAAACTGCAGAGGTGAAATGGAGTACACACCTTTTTTTTTTTTTTTTTTTTTTTGAACACAAACAGCAATGATGATTATGACAAACGTCACATCTCGAAGTCGACTACATGTTTGTGTATCTGAGACATTTTGTGTACTGAAAGAGTTACCAGGAGTGACCAGATCTTGCTCTTGTTTGCTTCGTGAGTGCTTCCCTACATTTAGGTGTTGAGGAAACTTAAAATACATTCATGCAGGTAGCTGAATACTTAATATCATGGTGCGAAAATTTGGATAAAGCGCTGAAACACATATTTACTTTAAGGTATCATCTGCCTTACCAGATTTCCGAGAGACAGGAATGATCACCTTAGCAAACAAAAAGTATACGCTACCAATTCAAGTTTAACAAAATGCTTTTCTTCATAGTACCATAACATTTTCCACACAAACATGCACACAGAATCATCTTTCTCGGAACCAAAACATTGCCCCTGCATTTCGTAGTGGCATTGCAAGCAACAGTACTAACAGCATCACACGGGCACTTCTTCATGTTATCGAGGCCAATGTAAATCCCATTTATTGACCTAAATATTTTAACGGTAGATGCTGCATGGTCTAAACTCATCTGAACAGAGTTTGGTGCAGACACCAGTGACACTGCAATCGTCCTAATGCTGGTCAAGCCCAAGTACACCTTCATTCGACTGTGTAAGGGCACCCCACTTGGATCTAGTCAAATCCGGACCACCACTGAGTGCAATCAAAAGTGTCCGTGTGACAACGGTACCAATCTGTGGCTTAGATGGAACCATAAAGTTTAATATCATAGTACCTAGAGGGGAATCTGGTGCTAGTGTCTGTGCGGGCTTTTTCAGTGACTTCGGTGAAGGAGCTCTCATATAGGCTTCACATCTGTTATAGATGGATTATGTTCTTGAGATTCGCAACGCTTGTTTGTCGAGTAAAAAACAAAGTGATATGAAATCATATTCAATCGAAACTTGCTTCATTCTTTTGAACATAAACTTTATTGCACGAAGTTTCTGTAATCATGAGGTAGAAGTGAAACCTGGACAAATTTAACCACCATGGTGTGCGTCCCTTTGCCATTTCATTCAACATTTGACATCAAGAACAATGAAATATTTTTAAAACATTTGACAACAAACATGCTTGTCTTTTGCTCGAAAGAACGCATTTTTTATTTATAAAAATAACAGAGCAGTATCAAGTGAGAAACACCTAGCGTTTCGTCTGCTGCGACACCAGCTGCATCTGTCTAAGTGATCTGCCCCCAACGCAACTCTTGTTTTGTCCTGAAGTCAAGTCAGAGGAGCATGAGGGTGCATCTGCTTAGCTTCACCATCGTTTTGGAGTCGTTTTGAACTAATTTAGGCAGGACGCGCTCGTGAAAGAACGTGAATTCAATGCAATATCCTCCACTGGCATGATAGGCTACATCTATGGAAGCAGTGAGTGAACGAGGCTTTGTTTAAATATGACTCGTAAAGCTCCAACGTCGCAGCAAATCAAGAGACCTAGTGGTCTTTAGCCTCTTCAAACAACAAAAGCACTTCTTCAGCACTTTTCACGGCACCCCACTACTCGTGCTGAGCAAAGAACGAAACTGAAACCGCAGAAAAAGATCTGTAAACAGTTCGCTAGCTAACACTATCCAATCCGAAGCCTGTACTTCCCATAATTCCAATGGGGGTAAACGATCGCAGTACCAGGTTCCTCTCTAGGTATTATTGCATAAAACTATATGAACGGAACAGATGACAGCTAGATAGCCAAACGCGATTCATAAATCAAAAGCGACAATAAAAGCAAAGGCCACTGACTGTTCTCAGCTCCCTGGCCGTTGCGTTCTTTCTGCTCTTGCTCCATGTTGAGTGACCTGCATAGAAAAAGAGATGCCATTTGTTGCTCTTGTCGGATTGCAAGATGGCCAGCACAATCACAGGTGCAATATTTATCCCAATACACAAACATAGAACTCTGGCTCCACTATCCTGCCTTGCATTACTTCCATCCAGCATTGGCAGTGATGCATTACGAGTAACAGCATTATAATGCAATAGCTGATGGCTATTATCAATAATGCGTAACTTTTTTCGTTAACTCAGTAATGCACATGTTACCAACTTTAAGATGAAACTGTTCTAGTTTACTCTGTGTCGTCATTTTTGTAGTAGGACTAGTGGTAGGCATCAAGCTGGTCACAGGACGAGAGGGAGGAGCGAATAAAGAAATAAACTAAACAATCATGACGATGACTTTCAGTATAAAATACCTGAAAGTCCTTTTTGCACTTTCATTAATAACACACACATTACTTGTAATAAACCAGGACAAGGCAAAGCGTATAGTGGTTTTGGGACAGTAAACCCCACATATCAAAGCATTTAGCACTTTCATTAATTGTATTAGTTAGGTACTTCCATGAAGTGTAATCGAGCGAGGCAAGGCACCAGCACACATAAGAGGGGTCATACAAATAACAAGGAGCACACTTCGCAGGATTTTGGCTAAGCTAGCAGCAAATCTCGCGACACAAAGCATCTGTTGAAAGACCAATGCCTAAGCCTACAGGCCACGTGGTCTACCTTCGCCCAATCAAGTGTAAGCACACAAATATTATATCTAGTGACGAATTTATGACCTAAAGTTATCTGACTAACACTTGCATGCTTACCATCTTTACTGTCTGATTGTTTTTAAGGCATAAAATTAGCTGAATATTTCTTTTTTGATATTGCAACAGGCAGTATACATAAAATGACATTTTTTGGTAGCATGAGGTGTTACATTGCTAGTTACACTTATATTCTGGGAAAGGATACCACCACTGTATCCTGTTGAAAGTAAACAAAATTGCACTTGAAGTGATGTAGTAAAAGCACTAACAAAAGCTGTGTCTGTAATAGCTGATGGCTATTTTACCAACTTTGTTTTCAATATAAAGATAGCTTCTTTTTATCTGCAACTGTGCCTACATTTTTGATTATTGAATTCTTCAACAAGCAAGGCTGATCGTGAACACTTTTACATAAACACCAACAATTCTTGCAGTATTTGTACAGGTTAAAGTAAAAAAAAATGTCTATATCCACAAACATTTCTTACCTAGAAATATGCCATTTAAGCATTATTTTATTGCTACAAGGTTCGTGCATCGATTGTGTTAAAACGAGCAAGCTATCAGAACTGCTGCATTTGTTGAGAGTTAAGTGATAATTTATTTTAAGAGAGAGCATTGATGAAGAAATCTTAATTTTTGTTTTTGTCACATAAAAAAATACCTTCAACATGTGCCACAGAGTTATAAGCCATCACATGTACTATTGACATTAAATTAAACGTGAATAGTGGAACACATAAATTTAGCACTAGCAATAGAACAGTGAGTGCACCCCGGGGATCACCTTTGACAGCCGCACTCATTCGGTTTGGCAGCACTCCGCGATGCCCCTACAGTCAGATATTTTCACGTCTGTTCTAGTATGTGCTAATATTTGAAATAAACTAAAAAAAGAAAGAAAATAAATGTTAACAGACCAAATGTGTTTGATCTAACCGAAGAAAAATGTGGGCCGCATGGATCCACGCGCAAGTTAAAACACACTGGCTCCTGACCTCGCTGAATGCGGCAGCTGCAACTGCTTCGGTCTCTCCTTTCGCCCACATCCCAATAAAGAAGCGACCATGGCACGGCCTCGTCAGCCACCCTCTCATCCTCTTTAAACTACAAATTAATACTTCGCATGTAACAATGTGGGATAATGCATGCATGCATTTTGATTAATGTTCTTGATATTGCTTATAAATGTGCAGGTTCTTCTTTTACATAGGATATAAAATTTTGAGTGCACAACACCATAGAGGTTAACTTCACTTTATAGGTGAAAAGAGTATATAGTAATAGGCATCCGTCACATGTTCTGTGCGATAACCACTGATTGCAGTTAACTTGCGCATGTCTGGGTAAACATGCAGCACAGCACAGATGTCTCTCACTTGTGCTACACTGCACGTTCACACGAACACGTTAGCTCACCAACTTGCCTTGTAACTTGCACAAGGAGAGGGAGCCCAAATGATCACCAGCAGTTTGCGAACATGCACCGATCACCAACACTGGCACTAATGTGAATTTTGTTGTTCCATGTGACATGGCTTTCAATAAGCAAGTGATGGCAGCCCGGAGAGACAGAGTTCCAGGAAAACTTACTGCAGTCGCAAGCAGGTGGACTCTGCAGCCATGACCTGCTCTTCGATATACACTCTTATGAGGCAGGAAAACTGAAAGCTGTCCGTAGAGGACCGAAATCACGTAAACAAGAGATGACCCTGGTGCTGCAACTGAGCACGCTGCGGAGCACGGCCCATAGGATGTGGCGGCACCCCCCCCCCCCCCCCCTCGACAAGAAGCACATCTGCTTGGTTTAAAGGGGCCCTGACACACCTTTTCAAGTCGCCATGGAATGAATTCACTGGAAAAACTTATTGCCTCACAAATTCAACACCGCAAAAATTTTAAGAATTCGTCCAGTGTGACTGGAGTTACAAAGGTTTTTCGCATGCTGCAATGAATTATCTTCTCTCATCCCAACGAAAGCGCTGGAATCTAAGCAGGCAGAAATGGCAGCGCCACAGAAAAGCAACACATGCGCTTCACGAACTTGAGCTTCATGAACTTTTTTTCTTCGCATGCGCGGCTTTTTTTGTGAGATCGTGCGCACACACGTGGACAAGTAGCAGCCTGACGGGGCGATCTCTGTAACGAGCGAGCGCGATATGTTCAAATCAGCCAATGGCTGATAGATGGGTCGTGGACGTGTGATTTTTGGGCTTATAACGTGATTTGTTGAGAGAAGAGAAAAAAAAAGGTTTTAGCTGACTGATCATTTATTGTGCCTTCCGGGCCGCGTGTTGTGCTATAATATTTGGCTCGTGTGTTGTCGGGAGCCTCTACAAACGATCGGCAGCATTTTATGACCATGCTCAAAACGTGCTACAGGGCCCGTTTAAGTCAGCTATAGGCGAATAGCAGTGCCCTCATGTTTGACGGTGTACAGCTGGCTACCCACTTACAGAAAAAAGAAAGGACGGGCCTCCGTACGAAGACAGCATGCTTGAGAAAGTAGAAATGTCGTGATCTACTCGTACACCCTCCTTGCCTCGCATAACCTCGAGATTCGGTTGAGATGTTTACAGCAGCATCTGCTTTTTACTGCAAGTATTTTTTCACCAAACACAAGGGGGTGGTTCAGACCCTGGTAAAACATCTTTAGTTCCATGACTAAGCAAACCAGGAAGAGCACTTCTAATTTACGAACAGGGAACAGAAGTATTGAACCAACATTACGAGCAACATCTGTGTGCACCTGACAAGTGAGCTCACCTGAAGCTGCCGTACACCATGAGCAGAATGGAGATGAGGAAGGTGGAGACGCGTGACGAGTCCACCAAGGAGTACGCCCTGCGAGGGAAAAAAATTAAAACTCTGTGAATATAACTGCACAGAAGAGCTGCTCATATTGTGGCTTTCGAACAAAAAATCCCAAAATTTATTATAATAATTATTATTACAAAACAATTGCAATAACAAAGCAAAGATATGATGTAAATAAAAAATGAGTACCCTGCAGAAATTTTCTTTCAAAAAGCCGACACAGGCCCAGCAGAACAAGCTTCAAACTTGAATACAATTATATTCACCCATTGTATTCACCACCTCCAAACTCGGCATAGAGCAGAGTTTGGAGAGTTAGACATAAAATAATAATAAAAAAGAACTGAATGGAATGGGTCTGGCACATCCACACAATAATGCCGCTAACTAAATCTGGCTTGTGTGCCAATAGAAAATTGAAAATTGCAAGCAAACCAAAAAAATTGCGCTGTTACACGTCAGCGCGACACATCGCCTATCAATTCTACATCAAGACCACAACTGACACAACCACAACATTCCACTTTGTTTTTAGCTAGCATTAATTATACCAGAAATGCCTGGCAATCTAGAAATAGGGGAGAACTCATAGCATCGAAGAGATCAGGGCTATGTGATACACTCAAACTTCGATATAACGAACTCTGATATACCAAAATATTGGTTGTAAAGAAGTAAATTAAGAATACTGTTGCAAAAGGTATTGTGTTAAGAATTTACTTTCATAATGAATTTTCGGATGTAACAAGCTTAATTTGTCTAAAATGCAACTTTGTTACAACGAGGCTTTAGTGTACTTGAGAAAATCTTCCTACTGGCACCTGTGTTGTGGGAGGGGGCATTGTGGTATATGACGAAAGTGAGGAACATCAAGCTAGGTGCTTGGTAGCATGCCCGTAATGAATTACTGCTTTTTGCAGTATCTGTTCAGATGCCTAAGAAGTGCAAAATATGATGCAAATCAACATTCACTGACAGTCCACCTGCAGCGAACGCCGGCGTTGCGGCCACTTTGGTTGCCATAGAGAAGGCACATAAAACATTTTTCTGCCTTTTAAGTTGCATTGGTCGCACGTCCCGGCGATAAATATCAAATACCGGATCAACAGGCACGTGCCTTTGTTACTTTATCTGGTGGAACGCACCTTGCAAGTGATCTGAGAAGTTGTGGCCTATACCTAACCCCACCATGAGGAAAAAAAGGGAGGAGTGGGCGTGGCATTGATTGGAAATTTCTTGACCTTGCTCGAACCTGTGCAGAACGCTGCTTAAGGCACCGTCACCGCAGTAAACTAGTGTCCTGCGGGAAAGCGTATTGCGATTTGGAAAGGGCTTTTAGTATTAATCACTGGACACAGTTCACTTTGTTCAATTACTCATGCCTGCATACACCTCGTAACTGTGAATATTAGTATGATTGCTGACTTCTGAAAATGTTATGGCCAACCATTTGGAGCAGTTCATGACATTGCTAGCACCTTAAAAAAATGTCAAAGCCTCACGCCAGTTTTTTTTTTTTGTTGTTGTTTCTTTTTCCACTCCTACTTTTCAGTTTCACTAATCCCCTGATTTTTAAGGTCGCCAGTTTGGCAGATCAACATTTGGATTCCCAGAGTGTCAAATTATTTGAAAGATGTGGAAAATGCTTCATTTATCATTGTTTGCTCAATGAGGTGGTTCAAAATACTACTTTTATTGAAATAATAGTGGCCTCTGCACAATTAAGGTGATGCTGAATGGTTTGTACATATTTTTTTTTGCTAAATTTAAGCTTTCTTTTTTTATACTGCTCCAGATTTGGTCCATCGTGACAAAAAATGGCGGTTTTCTTTTCTGGCACCTGCTCCAAATTTGGATCTTGGAGCTCCAAAAGCAGAATTTCGCTGCGCCAAGAGTTGCTCCAAATTCTATATCGGCTGTTTGCACCCCTGTAGTAAGTCATCCCGCGGCGTTCTCTACATTTCTTACTTTTCTTTCTTTTTTGTTCCCTTTCCCAACGTTACTCCCGAGGGCCACATTGATTTCCCGCGAGCGGCTTCGTTCACGAGCGCACGCGCTGCAAGGCAATCGGATGGCGTGCTCGTCGCACGCTACTGGCGGCGAGGTCAGTGATCGCGCATGGCGGTCGCCCACTCCGCGTACGCCGCCGTCGATGGGAAGGGCACGGAACGAGACGATAAGGGCAGAAGGCTTTGTTGTTGCGGGAGCCCTCTTGTGTAGGCACTGCGCCGTGCTCCCGACCGGGTTGCAGAAATTAGGTGCCTTTTCTCATCTTCTAACCACTACAACCACCCTCTTGTGGGCACGTATATCACTCTGTTTCAATCGAAAGTGCGAGGCCTCGCGTATCCTTTTCAATTCGAATTACACCTCGCAGGCCTCGAAGCGGAGGTTCCACATAAACACAGTTTCCTTTGTTGTCGTTCGCGATACACCTAAGGACCAAAAAAAGCCAGTCGATGCGGCAGGCTTGCTATCTTTTGCGAAATTTCCACCTCGACGAGAAGGTGAGAACCCGCACTCAATAATGACCGCATAGAAGCAACTCCGCGGTGTTGATGCCCCCTACACTAGGACGATAGCACTGTGCAAGCTTTTTATTTCATTATTTGTTTTGTTTCCTTTGCTTCCGCAGACAACCAAACACAACGCCCGCGGGTTTGAACTTCCAGGTAAAGGCAGCAGCCACCCCCTCCCCTCTTTTTTTTTTTCTTGGGTCAATTCTACGAGTCTTCCTTTTTTTTTTACAGCAGTCATGCACCACTCCCGAAAGGCAGCCAATCGCTGCTGGAACTACAAATGGGCAAAAATAAAAGAATTCTAAGAGAATCGTTACACAGAAGTCCCTGTAACAGGGTTAAGTGGTTCTCATTCTTTTTTGTAAAAGAGCGCGGATGGTAAAACAGCTCAAAAAAGACAGCGTTCTTCACCCGTCCACTAGTTCACGCTGAAAAAGTACCTTGATTTGTGCGAGTTGGTCCGTCTTTAGATGATACTAGAAACCGCAAACGACGAAGACGAAATGTAATATTCCTATGCAGGTGACGTGTGTATTTGATAAATAATCATATACAACAGCGCTAGTCCTGTTGTACGTTTTTATTTCGTCTTCGTCGTTTGGGCTTTTCAAAATATGTTCTGCCTGTTTCATCAAAACGAATAGTGAGTATTAGCTAGGATAGCGTTCGTTCCGGTCGCCGTCAGTTACCGGGGGGGGGGGGGGGGGGGCGCAAGAGAATAGCTTACGACGCATGCGCAGTGGCGATAAACGCTAACACAAGGCTTCGCGTACGCTTTGCTAAAGCTGCATAATTGACTTTTAGCAAGACACGGAAGGACGGTACGCAACAACGATGAGGAAGCACGACAGAGTTCCTCCTATACCGCTCGTGCTATTGCGACATTGAAGGCGCCACAAAAGCTCTACCAAAGATGGTATTGCCTGTCAGCCATTGTTGAAGGTTCACTAAAGTCAAATGACAATTTACGTCTGAGTGAAAGCTCAATGTATGATAACGTCTAAAACGACATTATAAACAGCAGAGGCCTATACTTACCGAGAAATTGAGGTAAATGCACGAGAACACATGCGCTGCGCGTAGGACATTCGCAAAATGATAACGATTACGTGAGAGGTACCACGCATGATTAATCACTAGAAATCTAACCAGATGTACTAAATAAAGAACATTCCGCGCATCAAGAGACGTAATAATAAAACGCTGCTTGTTCATTTCTGTTTCATTCATGTAAAAAAAAAAAAAACTCTGGACGTTACTATGAGTAATGGAGCGATTGGTTCAAAAGGTCACGTTTCGCCTGGTTAAACTGGGCAGCTTGTGTCATCTAGCGGGGCCCAGTTGAACCAAGCACGTTTGCCATCTCCAAGGCCATAGCAGGAAATTGTCCAGTTGCTGTTGTTGCTGCTGTGGCTTCTACTCCTTTCGTTCTACTGCTACTAGTGTCGGCGGCCGCACAGTTGAGCCGGGCAATATTGAGCACGGCTACAGTGACGTTAGACGTTCCGCTTGAGGCGGGTATATCGAAGTGCGCTAACCCGACGCGGACAACTAAAACGTGATTTTATTTCGAAATAAGCACTTTCTTGGCATAAAAGTAACACTGCGAGGTTTCTGGACCGCTATTTCAACAATCAACGTCGACTTAATAGTTGTCTTTAGTGTCCCTTTAATGAGAAACCTATCGCTCAGGCGACGCCGTAAGGAGCATTGCCGTACTGACTTACCGTATTTAAAACATCATTTTCGCACTTCACTAAGAAACTAATAATTCCAAATTACGACGTCACCACCATACCAGCCCCCTACGCTATCCCAACTTCTATTTAACTACGGGAAATTGCAAACTCGCACAGTTCCACGAACCTTCAAACGAGTCGATAAATTGTACTTGCGCCGGCGGCCAATTTAATTGGTCAGTTACATCGTCCTCGGCAAAACATATGCATCTACCCAGTCGTTTCTAAAGCTAGCCTGGGCGGAAATCTAAAAGTCACCGCCTACCATTATGTTTGAGCGCCTGACCGTCTGTAGATATGTTCGTTCTCTCATCTGTAGCTGTCGCACCACGTAATTACATAGCACACGATCGACTCCGTCCGCACTTTCTCCGAATAACAATCTCGAGTTCTCCGGACAGTCGTAGGAAAACAAAATGCAACGAACTGTGTCCTCCTCGTGTGTCTTATATCCGTTAGACCAGACGACCACAGACGCTGCAGTCGATATACGGGAGGAGGAAACGGCGAACTTCTGACGCTTCTACTCTGCGAAAGGGCGAAGATGATGTCGAGTCCATCCGCGCAAGACGCCGCCGTATAGGCACACACACGCACGCACACACGAGAAAGCGGCGGAGCATTCGGTGTCGAAATGCCGGCGCCAATTACGAGAGAGCGCCCGGCGCAAATCCGCTTACGGAGTTGACAGCTGCAGTGTATAGCAACGGCGGGCACGAGGAAATGAGAGCTTAATTCAACGTCTCTCCAGGGTTAATTAGAAAGAGCT